GGGGGGGGTTTCCACCTCGCGACACCCGCCGTCCTCCCCTCGCCAGCTCCGAGTGAGGGGGCTGCGGTCACTGCAGCCGTCTCGGCCCGAAATGCCTCCTGAGTAACAGACTGACATGTCTTACGCACTATAAAGCTTGTCAGGTTGGGTTTGGGTTAGGATGATTTGGTCTGAAAGGTGTCCAGGGATTGGGTCAGTGCTGAGAGGTTAACTTACCTGGGACAGCACCTCGGGGCCCCAGCCAAGGCGACACACAGGCTGTGACGTGCAGGTTCATAAGATTGTCCCATGGAGTCGGTCAGTCCCTAGGCCTTGTTGGGGATGACTCCAGAATTGACCCTAACGATTAACAGCCCACCTTTTTCTTACAGGAAGACGAGGGAGAGGATGACTAATGGAACACTGATGGATTCCAGCCTTTTTTAATTTTCTCCAGTCCCTGGGAGCAAGTTGCAGTCTCTCTTTTTTTTTTTTCCTCTTGTGCTCAGTCGCCCTGTTTTGAGGTCTCTTTTCTCTCCTTTACACCATGGTTCTCACCTTACTTAGGGGGGATGTATCTTGAGCAGAACACAGTGGGAAAAGAATCTCTGCCCCTTTCTGTTCCAAATTCATTTTTATCCCTTCCTGTCTCAAGAAAAACTTCATGGAATCAACACCACCGTGCTCTGTGGGAAAAAAGAAAAACCTTCTGCTCCCTTAGCCCTGCTGGGAGCCGGAGGGTGCTAGGCCCCTGTGTAGTAGTGCATAGAATTCTAGCTTCCCCTCCTTTCTCTGTATATTGGGCTCAGAGATTACACTGTGTCTCTCTGTGAATATGGACAGTCAGCATTTACCAACACGTACCTGTCTACTTTCTCTTGTTTAAAAAAAGAAAAAAAAAACTTAAAAAAAGGGGGGGTTATAGAAGGTCAGCAAAGGGTGGGTTTGAGATGTTTGGGTGGGTTAAGTGGGCATTTTGACAACATGGCTTCTCCTTTGGCATGTTTAATTGTGATGTTTAACCGACATCCTTGCAGTTTAAGATGACACTTTTAAAATAAAATTCTCTCCTGACGATGACTTGAGCCCTGCCACTCGATGGAGAATCAGCAGAACCCGTAGGATCTTACTCGGAATTGACACTCTATATTGTAATTTTGTTCCTGTTTATTTTTAAATTTTCTTTTTGTTTCACTGGAAAGGAAAAGATGCTCAGTTTTAAACGTTAAAAGTGTACAAGTTGCTTTGTTACAATAAAACTAAATGTGTACACAAAGAATCTGATGCTTTTCTCTCAGAACAGATTTCAAGTTTGACGTGTATAATGTATTGTCAAATTTTGTCAACCCAACTCCATATTTTTTGATACGCACTTTGCAGGATGACCTCAGGGCTGTGTGGACGGAGTAAAGGGACTCGAATCAGTGTGTTGATGTCTCCGTAGCTGGGAAACACGAGTACAACTTGCTATTGCTTTCTGAAAAACTTGCAATCGTGTGGAACCAGATTGCTCAAAACCCATCTCTGAGTGTGCTGTACCCTTAGTTTTGTCTATCACAATGGCATTTTAAACAATGGGTCTGTATTCACCTGGGTATCATTAACAGTGCCTGCCACCACCAGACAGACTGGTGCTCTAGTGCCCGGCGCACAGGCTGTTGCTGGCTCTTCGCTGGCGCCGTGGCCAAGGAGACAGGCTCGCAGAGTAGGAGCCGGGCTGGATGGTTGAGAAACTCAGGACAGGAGCACTTTGTCTCTAGGTGCCAGCTATTTAGCTTACTCTCAAGTGGGACCCGCCTGTGGATCTGGGCAAGATGGTGGACTCTGCCGAATGCCATCGCACATAGGACATTTGAGGGAAGCTCCCTGATGATGCCTAAGCTTTTCAATGCTGTAAAATAGTAGCTAAGATGAAATGCCACTTAACTCTTTCAGAGATGAATTCATGGACGGCCTGGTCAAGTGCAGAGCTTTTTGATGTGTGGGACTTGATAAGTGGAACTATTCCATCAGTGGGCCCCGCGTGATGAAACCTGTCTGGGTGGGCGGTGTGACCGCTGCACAGGTCTCTGTTTAGTGAATCTTCACTGTATGCCGGTCAGGAATCTTGCTCCAATAAAGGAACATAAAGATTTTTTTGACTGGGGTCACTCCTTGTACAGAAATGTTTCTTTTGGGTTTAGATAAGTTTTTGTCTTGTGTTCATAGTGACAGGAAGTGGGGGAAATCTAAAGTAGTTGAGCAGTAAGTATAGTACAGGTAACACCTACCTGAAAAGGTGTGTATAAGACACAGGCGAAGAACTGTTACTTGAAATAAGTAAGTTCCTAGAGGGGGGAGGGGTCACGCGTTAATCCTAAGGAGGCAGTGATTTCTGATTCACAAAGGTACAGCTTAACCAAAACGGTTTTTCATGTGCTGGCGGGGTCGCGGCAGCTAGGTTGTGTAGGTCACGTGAAATGGAATTTTATAATGCCGTTTTATTTTGTGAGTTAAAAAGTCACTGAAGGTAATTCCCTCAGGACTGAGGTGACCCTCTGGGTTCCCCTGTGCCTGCAGATCTTGTAGTGTTAGGCTGTGAGGAAACAAAGCGACAGACCTTGGGGTACTGGGAAGTAGCTGTGTGCTTTGTGCGCGTTGCAGAGGGGGCTCTGGGGCTGGCCCTCAGGCCAGTATGGGTTGGAAAGGGCCGGGTGCGTGGCCCAAGCGCCTTTGGCACAAGGACATTTAAGAAGAAAAGAGCAAATAGTAGCTGTTTAGTTTTCTCACCAAACCGCCATGCTCAGCGTCTGAGGGGAACTTAGTGGCTAATGAATTGGGGCAGAGAGGACAGCAGCTCGTAAACGCCTTCACGTTCATTTCAACACCTTGAGGATTGTTTTAGACCATCCCTGCAGTGGAGGGTAGTGTTGGTTTCTCCAGTGATGTCCTGGTTTCAAAAAGATCTGCTCCCTGACCTGCCTAATAACAGGCCCTTACTCTCACCCAATTCAGGCTCTAAAATGTAGGGTTTGGATGACACCTGGGTTACGGGCATTGTAAGGTAGAAACCTGCATGTTCAGACTGACTGTTGTCACCCCAATAAACTTAATGGAAACAAAGAAGAAAAAGTGGTGCCTGGATGTCCTGCGGGGATGAGAAGTTTGCTTTACATCTGGCCTTGGGTTAGTTTGGCTATAAGGTGTAATCCTCGCCCGAGGATATTTTTTCTAGCTTCTCGGGGAGAGTAGGAGGGAGAGAGAGAAACCTCAATGTGGGAGACGTTTGGTTGCCTCCCGACCAACCCGGGCCAGGGATCGAGCCTGCAACCGAGGTACGTGCCCTTGGCTGGAATTGGACCTGGGACCCTTAAGTCCGCGGGCTGGGCCGGCGCTCTGACCTCTCAGTGAAACCAGCCAGGGCGCGTTTTGGACAAACTTCGGGGCCTTCAGAGGACAGCTGTTCCTGAGCGGAACTGGTAGTCAGTCACTGCTGCTTTATAACAAGTGGCTCCAGGCTTTCCCTTGGTTCCCGGAAACAGATTTTGTTTTTCTTCCTTTTCGGTTGAATTATTCTATGAACCCTTCTTCACCGCTACGGGAGTGGAATTGTGTCGCCAAGGGCGAGGGGGACTCCGGGTTGCCTGAAGGTTGAGCCCATCTCCAGGAGGTGAGTGCGGAGTCATCTTTCCGGGTGTCCCAAGAGGACCTCTGGTTTTGAAAAGTCCTTCCCCCACCCCAGCAGCGACCCTTCCTCCTGCAGGTATAGCTTTGCTTATTGACTTACAAATTTACTTGTAAAAAAATCAACAGGTCTGAAGGAAAGGACTGTCCTGTGATTAGAATAACAGAGGGCTTTTTAAAGGAGGGTGTGGGCCAACTTGATTGGTTGGTGACATTTGTACTCAGCCACTCCCCGAGGGAGGCCCATCTAAGTGTACTGAGAATAGAGTGTGGGGAGGGGAAGGTTTTCCTTCTGTACCCTGCTAGGAATTTTTATTTTATTCTCACCTGAGGATACTTTTTCCATTGAGCAGAAGGTGGGGAGAGAGAAACATCCATGTGAGACACACACACCGATTGGTTGCTTCCCCCACGTGCCCTGACCACTGGGGCTGGGAATCGAGCCTGCAACTGACGTGCGTGCCCTTGGCCGGAATCGAACCCAGAACCCTTCCGTCCGCAGGCCGATGCTCTAACCACTGAGCCGAACCGGCCAGGGCCCTGCTAGCTCCTCTCCTGTTGGTAGGTGCGCAGTTCGACAGCCGATTAGCTGGAGAGCTGGTCCGCGGTTGACTATACAATGGGTGTTGCATGTGGACCTGTTTGGCTAAGAATTAAAACTGCATGAAACACCGTCACTGAGACGTGCAGCGCGGCCGTCCGCCCGGTCAGGCCCCCACCAGGCTTCTCTGTAGGTCTGTCCAGTCCTGGGGTTCATGAACAAAGGTGGGTGGGGTCTACTCCTCAACTTTCCCCCTTAGTGACAAGTGAGGCAAGTGAAACACTTCGAAGAAAAACTGGAAAATAAGTTTGACACGGTTCAGGGGTGAGTGGCCCTCAGGATGGGAGCTGGACGGCCCCCCGAGACGGGCAGCTTTTCCCCTGCAGGCAAAGCTGATCGTCTTTACTTCCAAGTTACGATTGATGACCTTGAGCCCTTGAGCTCAGGGCAGCTCGGTAACAGCGGCCACCAAAAAGAGCCTACTATGTGTTACTGTCGCCCTCAACTACTCCAGTTTGTAGGCCCTTAAGTGACCCGACACCCCGACTATGGAAAGGAGGCATGTTCCCCAGACCCACGTCGCCTTTGCGGTGCTGATGCCTCTCGGCTGATTTCCCGTCGCAGGGCCTCGCCCAGGAGGGCCCGTGGCCCATCTCACCTTTGCCCAGTCCCCTGGGAGGGAGGCGCTCAGGGCAAAGGGGCACTGGCATGGTTTCCTCAGTGAAAGCACCGGAGGGCCCCAGCCGGTGTGGCTCAGTGGTTAGAGCGTGGCCCTGGGGTTCCAGTCCAGCTGGGGACAAGGGCTCCTCAGGACAGTGGCCGGGGCACAGTGGCGCTGGCTGAGGCAGAAAGCTCCATTGGGGCCCAGTGGTGGGGGCACGGGGCCGTCCTGGCGAACCCCGGGATGGGNGAACCCCGGGGTGGGCACGGGGCCGTCCTGCCGAACCCCGGGATGGGCACGGGGCCCTCTGGTGAACCCTGGGATGGGCACGGGGCCGTCCTGCCGAACCCCGGGATAGGCACGGGGCCGTCTGGCGAACCCCGGGAGGTGAGCTCGGGCGCCCCCCAGGCTCCCCTCCAGGAGCGCGCTCTCCAGCCGCTGGGCAGGGCCACGGACCCGCGGGGGCAGGTGCGGGGTCAGCCCCTCGGACGCGGACGGGAGGGAGA